TTATTTTATTTTATTATTTTATTTTATTTTATTATTTTATTTTATTTGAGAGAGAGGGAGCTGGTGGTGGGGAGGGGCAGAGGCTGAGGGAGAGAATCACAAGCAGACTCCGAGCTAAGTGCAGAGCCTAACACGGGGCCCGATCCCATGACCCTGAGATCAAGACCCAAGTGGAAACCAAGAATCAGTCACTCAACTGACTGAGCCACGCAGGCGCCCCTCAAGACTACAATTCTGTGCTATTGGTGAGATTATAAATTTACCTGTGGTCCAAAAAAATGAGAAAAAAGAGCAAAAAGGAATCTTGGAGAGTGTCATCGGGATCTGGGGTGATAACTAAATAAATTGGGTATTCATTCTGTGATGGCTTCACTCATGGGAATGAAACCCTACAGCCCTGCTAGTTAACAACGCCACAACTGCATTGAGACAAGTGAGCGAGAGTGGAAGGGGCTGAGAAAGGACAGCTTGTAGATTCCCTCTTGGTTGTGAAAACTCAAAGACACTACCTTCTCTGAAAAAACTCCAGGTGCACTTGGCAGTCTTATTGTTGGGGACTTTTTTCCCCCTATATTTTCCTAACTGATGATAAGCTAGAATCATGGGAAATCTTCTGCCTGCGCATTGAGCAAAGCTCCAGGATGCATTTTCTTGACCATAGTCCAATGAGGTACAGCCAAATATGTTGGGTCCAGTAACTTGATCTAGCCATTTTAGCAATTAGAGTTTGGAAGTTCAGCTGCTCAGATAGGTCTTTGAGACATCAGCTGGCCTTGTCCATCCATTTTAGATGAGATTCTGCCCTGCCTCTCATCTCCAGAAATTCTGACAGATTTCACTGTTAGGATAGCTCAGGGGTAATTCATTTTTTTCCCGGCTTTAATGCCACATTAAAATGCCACATTCTTTTTTTTTCCTTGATGGGTTTTAACTGTATTTTATTTTATTAAGATTTTATTTATTTATTTATTTATTTCAGAGACAGAGCATGGGAAGGGTGATGAGGCAGAGGGAGAGGGAGAAGCAGACTCCCCGCTGAGCAGGGAGCCCGACATGGGGCTCAATCCCAGATCTCAATCCCTGAGATCATGACCTGAGCCGAAGGCAGACACTTAACCAACTGAGCCACACAGGCGCCCCAACTTTTCTAAAATTTAAATTCAATTAACATATAAGGTATTATTAGTTTCAGAGGTAGAGTTCAGTGATTCATCAGTTGTATATAACACCCACTGCTCATTCCATCAAGAGCCCTCCTTAATGCCCATCACCCAGTTACCACATCTCCCCACCCCCCTCCCCCCCAGCAACCCTCAGTTTACTTCCTCTCATTAAGAGTCTCTTGCGGTTTGTCTCCCTCTCTGGTTTTGTCTTGTTTCATTTTTCCCTCCCTTCCTCTATGCTAAAATGCCACATTCTTATTGCTCCCAATAAAGAAACTGTGTTCCCATCAGGGTAGATAAGCCCAGAAATAGTATTTCATCCTCTTCCAGGACGAGGAAATGAGGATTCCAATCCTTAACCTAAAAAGAGATATGGTCGGTGTGGGTCTTCTGAAGAAGCAGTCTTTCTGCAAGAGCAGCCTCAAATCTGGACGTGCCACTCTCCTGTGTCCCCTTCGCATCTCACTCATCTTGTATTAGTTGGTTCTGGTTTAGGACAAAGCCCTATTTTTCTCACTGCTCCTGTGACTTTCTTCAAAGTAGTGAGTGGGAACTTTCAGCTTAAGTGATGCCAGTCACCAAGGACGTCGCAAATAAATTCTGCCAGCCACCTTGGCCCTTCTTCCTGGGCATTTTCACCTGACTTTCTGGAACTTTTCACACTATGCTCATGGGTCATTCCCTCAGTTTCTGGTCCCTTAGGATCCTTGAGAAAACAAGCCAGGCAACCAACACAACCTTTTCTCTCTCACACAGTAGAGTACCCTCTTCTTAATAGGCCACAGGGTAGCCTGGGGCTTTTTCTAGGCTGGTGGTTCTCCAAGTGTGGGCCCAGGACCAGCAGCAGCAGCATCTCCTGAGAACTTGTTAGAAGCACAGATTCTTGGGACCCACTCCATATCCACAGTCAGAAGTTGAGGGAGGGGCCAGCGTCCTCTTTCCACAAGCTCTCCGTGTGATTCTCATCCACACTGAGTTGTGAGGCCACTGTTTGGGCCAACTCCTGGTATCCCGAAATGGTGAGGGGGAGTTGCTGAGCCTCTGGATCATTCTCTCTTAGCTCTTGGGCCAGAGGTGGACACGAGCTTTTTTTATATCTGCTTTGAGAAGAGAACAGGAGATAGGGCTATGCCGTAGAATGACTGCAGTAAGCCGTTAAAAAAAGAACATGCGAAGTATCAGGAATAGCAGGGTATTTATGCCTGAGTAGCCCAGAAACACTTCCACAGGTTATCTTCAGGACCTCTTTCTGTTCCGTAGAATTGTTTGGGACGTTTTTGGTGGGTCTTGCTCCTGGCATGTGACGGCTGAACGTTCCCTGGCTGCCTGGCCTGGATAAAGGCTCTGAGTGTGTGTCAGTCCGATTGCTGCTGTGACAAATTATCTCAAGTTCAGTGGCTACAACAACACAGATTCATTGTCTAATAGTTCCGGAGATCAAAAGTCAACAATGGGTGAGCAGGGCTGAATTCTTTCTGAAGGCTCAAGAGGAGAAGCTGTTTAACTTGCCTTTTCCAGCTTCTAGTGGCTGCCTGCATCCCCTAGCTCATGTCCCTTCCTCCATCCACAAAGCCAGCAGCAGGGTCTTCCAGTCTCTCTCTCTCTCTCTCTCTCTCTCTCTCACTCTGATCTGTGCTTCCATCATCACACATTTTTTCCTGCTTCTGACCTTTCTGCCTTCCTTATATCAGGCCCACCTGAATAATACACAATAATCTCTTCAGCTAAAGGCTCTTAACTTGATCATACCTGCAAAATCCCTTTTGCCACGTAAGGAAAGACATTCGCAGGTTCTGGGAGTTCAGATACGGCCATCTTTGGGGACCACGATTCTGCCTACCACAGAGGCCATGTTGATTTGTGGGCAGCCCCATGGATCAGAAAGGAGTGGAGAAATCTAGAACAGTGATGTGACTTGTAGTGCTTGTGTTTTCACCACGGCCACCTCCCTGGACCCTGTCACCTAAATGTGTCCTCCTGTTCACAGGCCCACCCCCAGAGAATATTATCTATCAGCAGCTCCGCCTGGAAGGGTTCATCGTCACCCGCTGGCAAGGAGAGGTCCGCCAGAAGGCTCTGAAAGACTTGCTGAAATGGGTCATAGAGGTAACGGGCTCCAGAGCCCCTGTCCCCGTTGCACACGAGATCCCATTCCCTCTCCACACTATAGGTTTCACCTGCACTGCAAATACAGGTGCATCTCACTTCTCCCCCTTCTAGAACAAAATCCCAGAGTTGTTTACACTCACTGTCTGCAGTTCCTCTCTTTCCATTCTTTCTCAAACCCACGTATCAGGCTTTTACACTCTTGCCATTCTACCAAATTGCCTTTGTCAGGGTTGACGATGTCCTCCTGCTGCGAACTGCAGGGGTCCGTTCTTGGCTTCGGTTGGCTGTGGCGAGTATTGGACAGAGGTGATCACGCTCTCCTCGGTACACTTTTTTCCCATGGCTCTTGGTTTTCCTCACAGATTTGTCCGTCTCAGAGGATCTCCTCTGCCAGCTTCTTTTCTGCTCTCCAAATTAATAATAGAGCGTCCCAAGGGACAGGAGTGGGCTCACTGGGCTTCCTTTCTTCTCTACCCAAGTCTGCCTATCCCTTACTTAGCTCAGCCAGGCTCTTGGCTTCAAATATCCTCCACATGCTGACAGCTCCTAAACGTCTGTCTCCAGCCTGGGTCTCTCCACTGGGCTCTCGGCCGCTCAACAGCTGCACTTGGATGTGTAACACACACATCTTTGACTCAACACGTCAAAAACTAAATATGTCTTTCTCTTTCCTGCCAAACCCATTCCACATACAGCCCTCACCAACTCAGTTATGGTAATTCTATCCTCCTAGTTGCTCAATCCAAAAACCTTGAAATCGTCTTTGATTCCTTTCTTTCTCTCCTACCCACGTCTCATCTGTCAGGAAATTCTGGTATCTCAACCTTCAAACTACCCCCAGAATCTGACCAGCTCTCCCACCTCCGCTGCTACCACCCTGGTCCAGACGGCCGTCTGGTCTAGCCTGGACGTCGCAGGAGACCCCGTCTGACCTCCTGACTTTATGCCCCAAGAGACCATTCCCAAAACAGCTGCCAGAGTGATCTTTTAAAGCATAAATCAAACCATGTCATTCTTTGGCTCAAATCCCTCCAAAACTCCCCCATTTCACATAGAATAAAACCTGTAGGGCTGTACATGGTCTGACCTCCATTACCTCTCTAATTTCATTTCTTCGTGTTCACCCCCTTGCTCACTCTGCCCAGTCCCTCCCCACTTCCTTCTGTCCCTCTGTAACTGCTTCCTTAATTCGCTCATTCCCTGTAGGACTTTGTTAAAAACTACTTTCTGAGTGAAGCAACTTTTAAAATGGCCCTATTTTAAATTGCAATCCCTCCTCATTCTTTGTTTTAAAGATTTTATTTATTCATTTTGGGAGAGCGAGCGAGCATGCATGTGAGTGCGCGTGCGTGCAAGCCGGGGGGAGGGGGGGAGGACAAGCCGACTCTGCACTCAGCGCGGAGCCCATTGAGGGGCTCGATCCGATCCCGTGACCCTGAGATCACAACCCCAAGATCACAACCTGAGCAGAAACTAAGAGTCTGATGCGGACCCGACCGAGCCACGCAGGCGTGCCTGCAATCCCCCTTGATTCTTGGTCCTCCCTACCCTACTTTTACACTCCGCAGTTACCACCTTTTAACATAATGTACACTGTAATTCACCTATATTTATTGCCCATCTCCCTCCTGTGAGAATGTAACCTCCATGAAGGCAGTAACCTCGTGCATTTTGTTTTCTGATGTCCCCTCAGCATCTAGAATAGTGTCTGAGTCAGTGTAAACACTAGACGAACATTGTTGAATACATGCTGAAGGGGCGTATATTTGTGCCGTCGCTCTTCCAGGCCCTAGGTTGGTGTCTTCTTAGAGCCATGGCCTTCGATCCACAGGAAGAAGCCCATCCCCTTGTCCTGTGCTGTGATGCTTTCCCACCTTACACCACGTGGTTATTCAGGGTTACCAAGGGGCATTATTTTAGTTTTAGAGGGAAAAAGTGGTATCACACTTCTAAACTCCTAGCTTTATCATCATTTCCTAATTCAAAGAAATACATTGCTCCTCTGGCAGCCTTCGGAGCTTGGTGTTTTTCCCAGTCCAACTCTTGGAGTGCTGAGCCGGGCTCTTTCCAGGAAGCGGAGAAGAGCTGAATGATTTTTAAGTTCCCACTGTGGAGCCTCTTTGTCCCTGCTGTTGAAATTGGATCTAGCCCTCCCATGATCACAGCTGACGACAAGAAGCCACTGTGCTGGGGTCCCGAACGCCTCCTTCTAACAGAGTGGACCTAATGAGTTTTGTTTTCAGTAACTAGTGAATTGGCCTCGTTTCTCTCTCGTCTTATTTTTTTTTTCTCATCTCTTCCCCTTCTGAAAAATACACTTTTCTTTTAGAATAGTTTTTGATTTACAGAAAATTCACAAAATTAGTACCAAGAGTTTCCATGTGGCCTGTATGCTGTCCCTTAATTTACCATATTATCAACACTTTTATGTTAGTATTCATCTTCAGCTTTGAACTTTTAAACTTTGGGTTACAGCTTTTAACCCCTTTCCAGGTTCTTTGCCTCTTTAAGAACAGGAAAGAGCTGGGGCTTTCTAGTCAAGGGTTCAAATCCCAGCTCCTATGCATATTAATTAGTTGAGTGACCCCCACCCCCAAGCAAATAGTCCTTCCATAAATCTATACCAGTTGCTAAGCCATCACTGGAATACATTAAGAAAGTAAGTGGTATCAGGTAACTCCAGTCTCCACATAAGACCCCTTTTAAAAAACCTTGAAAATGTAAATTAATTCCACTTAGTAGACTGCCTTGAAGTAGAAAGAAAAATGAAAAACCCTCACTAAATGAACCCTTCCCTCCCACCCTCCTAAGTGAATGTTCAACACAGATTGAAAGAATCTGGGCTTGATGCGAGGACAAACTATTAGACTGCCATGGTATTTACATTTGCTGAACAGGCTCTGCCTCTTCAGGGGTCAAAGAGGTAATGATGCTACGTCATGAAGCTACTGGAAGGATTAAAACAGATAGTACCCTGCAAGGAGACCCCTTTCTCCATCTTCTTCCATCTCTTCTGAGATCATTACATTACTAAACTTTTCCATATAATTTACTTGAAAATTGCTTAATCACTTCCTGTGTCATTTCTACTATTATTATACTGTGATCTAACACCTATTATCAACATTCTATCTGTACTTTGTGGATCATGCCCTGAGGTTGACTATAAGTTCACGGAGGACAGGGCTTCCATCTTAGATTTCCAGGTTTCCCATAGTGTACCTGATAAATTTGTTGCTATGATGAGAAGAGTATATCATTTAGAATATGAAATTAATCTGTTATATTTGTTGTCGTTCTGATACAGGGTAAAATCCAGTACCATGAATACATCATCGAAGGATTTGAAAACATGCCAGCTACATTCATGGGAATGCTGAAAGGAGATAATTTGGGAAAAACAATAGTGAAAGTATGAAAAAAATGACACACGGAATCTAGAAATCATTTGGATAATTATTTCTTTTTAACCATTTAGTAAAAATGTATACTACCTTCATCATCTAAGAAATAGTCATTGTGATGAGTTTGATCTCCCTAATAAAACACATGTAAGTGGTATGTAATTAGAACAGAGTGAAAATTTCATAGTGAACAATGGCCATTCACCTTCACTCCCTACTATAGCTCTTGGGTTGTGGTGCAAAATAATGGTTTGGAGTCCAAAAGTTTACTGCTTCTGTGACTTTGGAGTTCTGATTTTTTTTTTTTTTCTGATCTGTAAAGTGAGGAGAGTAACATCTGCTTTATATACATATTATAAATTTATTTAAAACACCAGCATAGGGGCACCTGGGTGGCTCAGCTGGTTAAGCATCCGACTCTTGATTTCTGCTCAAGTCATGATCTCAGGATCTTATTCAGCCCCGCATCGGGCTCCATGCTCGGCGGGGAGTCTGCTTGGGACTCTCTCTTTCCCTCTCCCTCTCTCCTTTTCCTCTCACCATATATGTGCTCTCTCTCTAAAATAAAAAATCAATAAATCTTCAAAACAAAACAAAAACGCCAGCATAAGGCCTGGTCTATGTTAGGTACACAGTATTAGCTACCTTCTTGGCAGAAATCAGTGAATTTAAAATCATAAGGTTACCACTCTTATTACTTATGATTACATGAGAAGAAATAATCATTGCTAATGTATAGGGGTCTTGGGGCAGCCCACACTGCTCCTCCACAGCTGAGCCTAATGACATCACAGACCAAGGAAGGGATTTATTGTTCGCAACAGCTACAAAAAGGTAACACATGGGAATATGAGCCTACAAAAATGTGCGAGATTTATATGAAGAACACTTTCAAGCTTTACTTTTTATTTATTTAGTAATCTCTGCACCCAACATGGGGCTCAAACTCATCCTTAGATCAAGAGTCAGATGCTCCACCAACTGAGCCAGCCAGGTGCCCCATGGAACACTTTCTAGCTTTAAAGCACTACTCAGGAACACAAAAGACTGGAACATTTAGAAAGGTACCATGCTTTTGGACAGGAAGATTCAGAATTACGAAGATGTCAATTCTGTTGATCAGCTCTGCCTCCAAATAGAGTAGGGTTTAAATCAGACCACGGTGAAAATATGGGAGAAGAAAGTGTGTGTGTGAGAAACCTCTGGAGGAATGTAATAAACATGATTTGTCTCCAGGGCAGAGAACTGAGGAGTGCCTGAAGGGCAGGGATAAGAAAGAAACTTTACACTGCATAACCTTTTGTACTTTTTGAATTCTAAGTTCTAAATCTTCTAAGTTATTTATCCACCATTAAAAATGCAATAAAAAAATAAAAGTCCCTGCCCTTCTGGGTCCCCATTCCGTATGGGGAATGTAAAACATATGTATGAGAGAAAACTCAGGAAAGTGTGGGGGTATCCTCACCCAAGGTGGGCGCCTCTGGCGTTTTTTAGCTCAAAAGATGTCCAGACTGAGCCTCCAGCAATTCATTGCTTACAGTTTGTTTTCCTACCATGGATGCTACTAGTGCCCATGGAGATTTCGGCTCTTGGGCTTCAACTCCAATAGCATGAGTGTCTGCATCTGCCTGTCTGACTCTCCAACTTTGGGGGCAGCCATTTGAGATCTCAGTTCTCTGCTGTATCTAAAAAGAGTTGATCTTTCAATTTCCTCAACTTATTTCTTGTTGGGAAGAGTGATGACTTCCAAATTCAACACATGCTGGTCCAGAAACTGATAGTCAAGAGCATTTATTTTATTTTTATTTTAAGATTTATTTGAGAGAGACCGCGAGTGCACGCGAGCACGAGTGGGGGGAGGGGCAGAGGGAGAGAATCTTCAGGCAGACTCCCTGCTGAGCACGGAGCCCCGGGCTTGATCCCACAACCCTGAGATCATGACCTGAGCCAAAATCAAGAGTCGGATGCTTAACCAACTGAACCACCCAGTCACCCCAAGAGCATTTATTTTTAATTTTGATACTACTTATCTTTTTTTCTTTTACAGTTACTGATTTTAGTGTCTCACCTAATAAATCTTCGCCTAGTTCAAGGTCATGAAATTTTTCTCCCATATTTTATTCTGTAAGTTTTACAGTTTTAGCTATTATGTTAGATCTGTGACAGAACAGAGAATAGGGGATTGAGATTGACTGCAGACGAGCAAGAGAGAATTTTCCGGGATGATTTCGGTGTTCTGTTGGGGTGAGGTCAGGGGAGACATTTGTCAGAACTCATAAAGCAGTACATTTAAATGTGCATCTTATATGTAAATTCTATCTCAATACAGTTAATTTTTAAAAGAATAAAAAATATGTCCAGTACAAAAGTAGGCCACAAGACAGGAGCTTGCTGGCTACCAAACTGCTACAGACTCCTGACTTACTCAGAGGGAGAAAGATAAACAGTCAAGGTAAGGCCAAAGTCTATGAGATCCACAACCACACGGTACATACTTCGTGGGAAAGCCTCCCAAGTGGGCAATAATATTTTCAACTTCAGAGGAGACAGGAAGAACACAGGTCTTCATGTTTCCCCCACTCCCATCTGTATCTCTCAAATTTATTTTGGTCCCAATAGTAAGATAGGTATCAGTCTTTGTTTTTTCCAAGTTACTAGCCAGTTTTTCCTACATCACTTATGGAATCCATCTTTCCTTTATTGACTTGAAATACATCTTTTACTATGTTTTCTATTCATAGGTACTTGGTTCCATATCTAGACTTACCACTCAAAACACAAAGATTTGTGTTTCGTTAATTTGCCACTAATGTCGAGGATTTTTTAAAAGATTTTATTTATTTATTTGAGAGAGAGAGAGCGCGCACAAGCAGGGGGAGGGACAGAGGGAAAGGGAGAAGCAGACTCCCCACTGAGCAGGGAGCCTGATGTGGGGCTCGATCCCAGGACCCCTGAGATCATGACCTGAGCCAAAGGCAATGGATTAACCAACTGAGCCACCCAGACACACCAAGGATTTTTTTCCATTACAGTTTTTGGTTATTGTTAGAGCTTGGGAAAGTTTTTAAATACATCTATCAATCTAGCACAATTATGCATTTTTGTAATAAAGTACTAAAGAGTGCTCTTTTTAATACAGTATTTCAGATTTCTTTTTTTTAAATTTTTTATTGTTATGTTAATCACCATATATTACATCATTAGTTTTTGATGTAGTGTTCCATGATTCATTGTTCATAACACCCAGTGCTCCACGCAGAATGTGCCCTCTTTAATACCCATCACCAGGCTAACCCATCCCCCTACCCTCCTCCCCTCTAGAACCCGCAGTTTGTTTTTCAGAGTCCATCATCTCTCATGGTTCATCTCCCCCTCTGACTTATTCCCCTTCATTCTTCCCCTCCTGCTATGTTCTTCTTTTCCTTTTTTCTTAAAATATGTTGCGTTATTTGTTTCAGAAGTACAGATCTGTGATTCAACAGTCTTGCGCAATTCACAGCGCTCGCCATAGCACGTACCCTCCCCAATGTCTATCACCCAGCCACCCCATCCCTCCCACCCCCAACCACTCCAGTCACACTCAGTTTGTTTCCTGAGATTAAGAATTCCTCATATCTGTGAGGTCATATGATACATGTCTTTCTCTGATTGACTTATTTCACTCAGCATAACACCCTCCAGTTCCATCCACGTCGTTGCAAATGGCAAGATCTCATTCCTTTTGATGGCTGCATAATATTCCATTGTGTATATATACCACATCTTCTTTATCCATTCATCTGTCGATGGACATCTTGGCTCTTTCCACAGTTTGGCTATTGTGGACATTGCTGCTATAAACATTGGGGTGCACGTACCCCTTCGGGTCCCTACATTTGTATCTTTGTGGTAAATACCCAGTAGTGCAATTGCTGGATCGAATGGTAGCTCTAATTTCAACTGTTTGAGGAACCTCCATACTGTTTTCCAGAGTGGCTGCACCAGCTTGCATTCCCACCAACAGTGTAGGAGGGTTCCCCTTTCTCCACATCCCCGCCAACATCTGTCGTTCCCTGACTTGTTAATTTTAGCCATTCTGACGGGTGCGAGGTGGTATCTCATTGAGGTTTTGATTTGGATTTCCCTGATGCCGAGCGATGTTGAGCACTTTTTCATGTGCCTGTTGGCCATTTGGATGTCGTCTTTGGAAAAATGTCTGTTCATATCTTCTGCCCATTTCTTGATTGGATTATTTGTTCTTTGGGTGTTGAGTTTGATAAGTTCTTTATAGATTTTGGATACTAGCCCTTTATCTGATATGTCATTTGCAAATATTTTCTCCCATTCTGTCGGTTGTCTTTTGGTTTTGTGGACTGTTTCTTTTGCTGTGCAAAAGCTTTTTATCTTGATGAGGTCCCAATAGTTCATTTTTGCCCTGGCTTCCTGTGCCTTTGGCGATGTTTCTAGGAAGAAGTTGCTGCGGCTGAGGTCAAAGAGGTTGCTACCTGTGTTCTCCTTTAGGATTTTGATGGACTCTTGTCTCACGTTTAGGTCTTTCAACCATTTGGAGTCTATTTTTGTGTGTGGTGTAAGGAAATGGTCCAGTTTCATTCTTCTGCATGTGGCTGTCCAATTTTCCCAACACCATTTGTTGAAGAGACTGTCTTTTTTCCATTGGACATTCTTTCCTGCTTTGTCAAAGATGAGTTGACCATAGAGTTGAGGGTCCATTTCTGGGCTCTCTATTCTGTTCCATTGATCTATGTGTCTGTTTTTGTGCCAGTACCATACTGTCTTGATGATGACAGCTTTGTAATAGAGCTGGAAGTCCGGAATTGTGATGCCGCCAGCTTTGCTTTTCTTTTTCGACATTCCTCTGGCTATTCGGGGTCTCTTCTGGTTCCATACAAATTTTAGGATTATTTGTTCCATTTCTTTGAAAAAACTGGATGGTATTTTGATGGGGATTGCATTGAATGTGTAGATTGCTCTAGGTAGCATTGACATCTTCACAATGTTGGTTCTCCCAATCCATGAGCATGGAACGTTTTTCTATTTCTTTGTGTCTTCTTCAATTTCTTTCATGAGTATTTTATAGTTTTCTGAGTACAGATCCTTTGCCTCTTTGGTTAAATTTATTCCTAGGTATTTTATGGTTTTGGGTGCAATTGTAAATGGGGTCGACT